CTATATATTGTAAGGCACACTTTTCCTCTTCCTAATAGTGAAAAACGATCTCTTTTCTTTGCTTCATTAAAGAGTTTTGGCTTCTGTAAGAACAGTCTACACATTTGCAGCGTTTCTGAAAATTTAACACTAACAGTTTTTCAGTTTCAAAATTTCGCTCACACTAATGCTAACCGTTGGTTTAATCTCCAAGTGGGAAATTAATCCTCTTATGATGCCCCAATTGTATCCTAGGAGAAGCAGGTACGGGGAAAATTTAATGTGAAGCCTACCTCAAGGCTAGTGATTTTGTTATCTTCTTTTTTCAGATGGGAAAATGCAACCTCAGGAAATCACATTGTTCTGACTCTTCTATTCTGCTTTATAGTGTCTTGGCAACCTGTATTAGTCCCTCAGTCACAAGCCCAATATAGGAATTAGCAAGGGGACTATCGTTCGAAATGAATGTGGAAGCCTGTGACCAATACAATGGAGTTCCCGTGGGAGTCATTAAAATGTCACCAAGCACATTCTCTCTTGCTTTCTTTCCCTCTCTTTTTTCCACTCTGCCCCATCTTACACATACATGCAGAGGTACCAGTGCACATCCAGGAAACATTCTTCCCTCTAGAGAAAACACACGGGACAGCGTGCATTTTTCCCTTTGACTCAGGAAGAAAACGTTGTGTTAAACCACACCAATGACTGTGCAGTCTTCTTCTAGATCAAAGTCATTTTGTCTGCAATCAGTTGGGAAATGAAACGGTAGCAATGAAAAATTCAAAGCTCTATGGCTACTGTCAGAGCAGCTCTCAGAGACTGGAATTGTACAGATTCATATGTGCAATTTATGTTTAAAGCAACAGGAACATTGCCCCATGCAATTATTTTAACCTATATCTCTGAGATCTGTAGCTCACTCAGAACCTAGGGACAGCTCTTGATAATCATCAACTGAGTTACTTCATAATTATTTTATGCTACCTTTTCATGGGTACTCAGAGATGTTTATAATGAAAACATTTTACTCAGGGAGCATATATATGAATGGGTAGTTTGAAAGTCATGTGTGTGCCCAGAGTCAGTTGACTTTTCTGTGGTTCTTAGTCGCAGAGGTTAAAAATTAATCAGAAGATACATAATTTCACAATGTATACATGTATTTAAACATCATGTTGTACAGTACACTGTAAATATATTAGTTTTGTCAATTAGACCTTAATAAAGTTGGTAAAGACTGATTTAAATGGGGAAAATATGGCTCGGCTTATACTTTTTTCTTTTTTTGAGACAGGGTCTTGCTATGTTGCCCAAACTAGTCTCAAACATCTGAGCTCAAGCAATCCTCCTGCCTCGCCTCCTAAGTAGCTGGGATTACAGGTACAAACCACCCCATCTGGCTCCCATTTATGAATTTATGTTACCCAGAAAATATTTGTGTGATCAGATATAATTGCTTTTCTCTCACAAAGTTATTGAATCATGTTATGTTGTGTGTTTAGACATCATTTGAGAAAGTCATCAGGGATAGTGATATGGCAGGGGTTCCTGTGTTCTTGCCCCCTTAAGATTATGTTTCTGAGATACAGCAATGTAGACCCCACAGATCTTTGGTACCATCTGATTCTGATAGAGAGATTAAAAACCCAATTTGAGTCACAAAAGATAGAAAAAAAGGAAAAGGACATATTTATATTAAATGGGCTATTATATGGTGTGTGGTGTGTGTGTGTTTGTGTATGTGTGTGTATTTTTTTTTGAGTTGGAGTCTCACTTTGTCACCCAGGTTGGAGTGCAGTGGTATGCTCATGGCCACCGCAGCCTCAACCTGCTGGACTCAGGTGATCCTTCAGCCTTAGCCTTCCATGTAACTGGAATTATAGTCACGTGCCACTATGCCTGGCTAATTTTTTGATTTATTGTAGAGATGAGGTCTCACCAAGTTTCCCAGGCTGGTCTTGAACCTGTGGGCTTAGGCAATCCTCTCTCCTCAGCCTCCCAAAGTGCTGGGATTATAGGTGTGAACCACCATACCCAGCCTGTGGTATACATTTTTTATGGGCAATTTCGTAAAGAAAAGCCGTAGGATTCTTGAGACCACAGCTACTTGGGCAGGGTCCTGTGAGCAGTCAAGTGTGAATTGTTCTTAGAATTTGCATGATTGGGAAAGTAAGTTAGTATTGTAAAAAGTTAGAATTGGTTGATCAGGTGGCATAAAATGGCAAGGTAGTTGATGAATGCTTATGCGGCCTGACCAGATCCAATGAGGGACATAAATGAAGTTTGTCTTCAACACCCACTGTCTTTTGGCTGGCTCTCCTTGGGCTCTCTGATCTAGCCCACTGGACTTTCTTCCTGGTCTAATCCCTTAGAGATACTCTCAAAGCCTGACTTTCTCTTTGACCCATTATCTTCTTTTGATGAAAAATTCTCTTGGGTTGTGGAGTGGGATTGGCAGATGCTGGGCACCGCTAGGGGAGGGAAGGAGGTAGAAAAGATAGGGGTACATGGCAACACCAGGCGTACTTGGTCCACTACCAAGAGGAAAGAGGGCCGCCTAGAAGTCCAAACTTCACCTGTGTGCAGCCTACTTATATGGCAAATCCTCACTCATACCCCACAACAAATAAATAAACTAATAAACAAATACAAGCCGGGCTCGGTGGCTCAGCCTGTCATCCCGCGCCTTTGGGAGGCTGAGGTGAGTGGATGGCCTGAGCCCGCGGGTTCGAGACCCGCCTGGGCAGCGAGACCTCATCTCTACCATAAATCAAAAAATCAGCTGGGCGTGGTAGCGCAGGCCTGTAATTCCGGCTACTGGGAAGGCTGAGGGGGAAGGATCACTGAAACCCAGCAGGCGAGGCTGCGGTGGCCGGGAGCAGCCACTGCACTCCAGTCTGGATGACCGAGTGAGACTCCAACTCAAAAAAATAAAAAATAAAAAAAATAAAAAAACAAATACATACATGCATACATACATACACACAGCTCCTTTGTGCTGTATCTCTCATAAACTTCAGGGTAACTCTTTAAGCTTTATATTAACAAGCAAATCTGTTACCATGCTTAAGTGACAGAAAGCTATAAAATAATGGATGTTTTGAATTCAATGTACATTTCCATGTTTTCTACTCCATCAATTTTTTTTCTAATAATGAGGAGTATGGGCCATATAGGAGAAGACTGTAACAGACTGATAGGAGACAGAAAGTGTGTTAGGCAGAACAATAAAGGTAATATTAAAAATGATTTTTTAATTCACTGAACATTGATTATCTACAGAGTACCATATGTTCCACATATACCATCTCATTTTAACCTTCATGATGACTCCGTGAGATGAACGTTATACTAAATATCTTTTTTTTTTTTTTTTTGAGTTGGAGTCTCACTCTGTCGCCCAGACTGGAGTTCAGTGGCCGTTCCCGGTCACTGCAACCTCGCCTGCTGGGCTCTGGCGATCCTTCCGCCTCAGCCTTCCGGGTAGCCGGAATTACAGGCATGCGCTACCACGCCCGGCTGATTTTTTGATTTATTGTAGAGATGAGGTCTCGCTGCCCAGGTGGGTCTCGAACCCGTGGGCTCAGGCAATCCACTCACCTCAGCCTCCCAAAGGTGCGGGATTACAGGCTGAGCCACCGAGCCCGGCTTACTAAATATCTTTGTATAGGTGAACTGTGACCTTTGGAGAGATGAAATAACTTTCTCAAGTGGCAGGTGGCAGAGATAGGATTTGGACACAGTTCTGCATGACTCTGAAGTTAGAACTTTCGTCCATGATGCTTTATTGCCTTTCCAGGCAATATCTCTGGTCTATACTGCCTCTTCACAAATACCAGCAGTTTGAAAATCAGACCAGTAAGAGTTTTAACTTCTTTAACACTTCCTCCTTATCTCTCTCCAATGGAAAAAAATGTGAATTCACAATGGTGAAGTCAAGCAGAGATTGACCTTTAATAAGGCTGCAACTGGAAAATCAGTCCTTGCATTGTATGAGTGGATGCTTCCTGTGTGGGGTCCCTGAGGCTTTTGTCTAAACTCATCATGAGAATGTGAATCTCGCATGTCTGGCTATGCATTAAGATAAATACCAGCCGGGCTCGGTGGCTCAGCCTGTAATCCCGTACCTTTGGGAGTCTGAGGTGAGTGGATTGCCTGAGCCCGCGGGTTCGAGACCCACCTGGGCAGCGAGACCTCATCTCTACAATAAATCAAAAAATTAGCTGCGCATGGTAGTGCGCCTGTAGTTCCAGCTACTTGGAAGGCTGAGGCGGAAGGATTGCCGGAGCCCAGCAGGGGAGGCTGCGGTGGCTGGCAGCGGCCACTACACTCCAGTCTAGGTGACAGAGTGAGACCCCAACTAAAAAAAAAAAAAAAAGATAAATACCTTTAAGCCATCATTAGCAATCTTCCTAGGCTGCTGCTTTCCTGGTAGAAATCCAGGAAGACAACCATTATGTACCTATGAAGTTCTTGGTAGCTCATGAGTCTACATGGAGTTTAACTAAGCAGAGGCAAATTTCTCAATCTGCGATAGATCATACATGTCATACCCATATATGTGTAGTTCATCATGAGATCCTTCCAGAACAGGATTACAGTTTGGTATATACAAGTTCAACAATGTAGTAAGTTATATTCACATGGAAGAACAATGAGTTGGTTATTTGAAGATGTCTCTGTAATTAACTTAAGACCTTGAACAAATCACTTTATCCTCTGGGGTCTTATTTCCTTATCTTCTGAAAAAAATGGTTAATTATCCTGCCTGCCATATAGGTGTCTTGATTGACATGTTGCTACTTTGGTCTTTGAGTGGAAAAATATCAATTAGCTCAATCCTATAACAATCATTGCTCATACTGAACAGAAGCTTGACTTATCAGTTACCTATCAACTTAAATAGGAAAATAAGTTGTTACATGGTAAGTGTAGTTGGCAATGTATGAAAATGTAAATATGAATCTATGAAAAAAACAACACAAGGTGTCCTTGGTGATAAAGAGCTGGGGATTCATTTTCTATTCCCTTTCAGAAGGCAGAAATCTTCTCTTCAGTCTCCTCATGGCTGACTTCATCTCATGGTTCCTCAGAGTGTAGATCAAGGGGTTCAGCAGAGGGGAGATGACAGTGAAGGTGACAGCGATGGCCTTATCTGTGGGGAGAGCAGTGAAGGGCCGAGCATAGACATAGATGCAGGGCACAAAATGCAGGGTTACCACAGTGATGTGGGAGGTGCAGGTGGAGATAGCTTTACTCCTGCCCTCCCTTGCTTGAGATTGCAGCATCTTTAAGATGAGTATATAAGACACAAGCAGGAAGATAAACCACAGGGTAGTGACCAGGCCATTGTTGGAAATCATCAACAGCTCCAGAGTGAAGGTGTCAGTGCAGGCGAGTTTGAGGACCTGGGGAACGTCACAGTAGAAAGTGTCAAGTACATTGGGTCCACAGAAAGGGAGAGGGAGCAACATAGAAATCTGCACGATGGAATGGACAAAGCCCCCCACCCAGGAGGCTGAAATGAGGGCAGTGCATCGCTCCCTACTCATGATGGTCACATAGTGCAGGGGCTTGGAGATGGCTATGTAACGGTCGAACGCCATCACAGAGAGAGAAAAAATGTCTGCCCCGCCGAGGAGGTGGAAGAAAAATATCTGTGCCATGCAGTTTGTATAAGATATGGTCTTTTTCTTTGATAGGAGATCCACCAAGACTTTAGGAGAAGTGATGGAGGAGAAACAGATGTCAAGGATGGCTAGATTGCGGAGCAGGAAGTACATGGGGGTGTGGAGGCGGGACTCACAGGTCACAGTGATCATGATGAGGAGATTTCCTATCAAGGTAGTCACATACACAAAACACAGAAACATAAACAAGACGAAGCTTAGTTCTTGGGACTGAGTAAGTCCCAGAAATACAAATTTTTTCATTCTGGTGCCATTTCCCAGCTCCATTGAATCATATTTTCTTTCCCTTGTATATCTTGGAAAAAAAAATAGTGTTATTTCAGAAAATGTTTGCTCTCTCTCGACAGATTCAGTTCGTAGATTCAGGTATTACATTTGAAAACTCATGAGGTCTTATCACCACCTGAATTACTATTTGGAGTTATTGCTAATGTGTCCAAAATGACATCTTATGACACAAGCATGCATTCAGTTAATCTTTCTTTTGTAAATACAAATATTTTAGAAAATGTATCAAAATAATGTTCTAATGTGTGTAAATTCTAAGTATTCAAGATAAACAGAAGTGGATATTAAATATTTAGAAAGGGACTATTATAGCATAGGAAATATAAAAGTGGAGTAGTTTAGGTGTATGAATAAGATAGTTACTACTTTGTGTGGCTAGAACACTTTGGCTGTGTGTGTGTGTATGTGTGTGTGTGTGTGTGTGTGTGTGTTTGCTTTTTAATTTTTTTCCCCAGACTGGATACTCTACTTAAATGGTTCCAAGAGTCCATCTGCAAAATTGTCCCCTTTGAAGTAAATTTCACAGAAGCATTCTTCTTACAAAAATCACAAATTTAGTTCCATAAAAAATTAGAAAAATTTAAAGCCACAAAATTCTTCTCTGTTGCTCTATTCCTCTTTACAGAGATTTCTTAGTTTCTACCTTTACTTTAACTGACTTTAGGTACCAAAATTCCTGGGTGGCAGATAGACCCTAATCGATGGAAATGAAAATATTTCTTAGAGCTTCTCTTCTGTTCATGTTTTAATTTATTTCTTAAAATTATACTTTATTGAGCTATTATTGATGTACAATAAACTGCACATATTTGAAGTGTACAGTTTGATAAGTTTTGATATAAGTATATACCCATGACACTGCCATTATGGTTAAGACAGTAAACATATCTATCACCCAGAAAAAGTCTCTTTGACACTTTGTAATCTGTCCCTTCCTTCCTTTCTTCTTCAGGAAACCCTGATCTGCTTTCTGTCATGATACATTAGTTTGTGTTTTCTAGAATTAAAAAAAATGGAACCTTATCACAATGTATTTTCTTTTTGTCTGGCTTCAGTCAGTCATAAAATTCACCCATGGTTTTTTGTATACTACTATTTTGTTCTTTTTTATTGTATGGATATAACACAGTTTGTTTATTCATTCACTTGTTAATGAATATTTTCATTGTTTCTGGTTTTCAACTATTATACAGAAATCAGCTGTGAGCATTTTGTGTCAGGTCTTTGTGTGGGCATATGTTTTCATTTCTTTTGGATAAGTAGCTAGGCATGGAATGGATGCAACTCTTTTTTTTTGAGTTGGAGTCTCACTCTGTCACCCAGGCTGGAGTGAAGTAGCACGCTCACAGCCACCCCAGTGTTGACCTGCTCTCCAGCGATCCTTCTCCTCAGCTTTCCAGGTAGCCAGAACTACAGGTGCATACTACCATGTCTGGCTAATTTTTAAAATTTATTGTAGAGATGAGGTCTCACCAAGTTGCCCGAGGTGGTTGCAAACCTGTGAATCAGGCAATTCACTTGCCTTGGCCTCATAAAGTGCTGGGATTACAGGCTGAGCCACTGAACCTGGCCAGCTGTGACTCTTAAAATTCAATAATAAGAGAACAAACGACTCATTTTAAAAAAAGTTCTGATGATTTGAACAAATGCTTTAACAAGAAGAAATAGAGAGTGCAAATAAATATATGAAAAGATGCTCAACATCATTTAGCACTGGGAAAATATAAATTGAAATCACATTGTAAATTAAAAAACAGTATACATTAGAATGACTTAAATAAAAAAGACTGATAGACATATTAAGAGTGTTCAAAGACATTGAGGAACTGACACTCTGGTTGGAGTGAAAAAGCGTTTTGGCAATTTCTTAAAATGCTACACATATTTTTGCTATATAATCATTTGCCTTTGAATTCTTTTCTCTTATTTTAATGTGTGTGTAAATCCTTGAAATGGGACTTAATTTCTTTCTTCCCAGTTTATCTCCATTTTCTTTCCATAATCAGAAACAAAAGAGGGACAAAATTTCCTTTCCTCTCATTTTTTGGGTATGTTTTCCAGTTCAAATGAAGATATTTTTTTCTTTTTTTTTGTTGAGTTGGAGTCTCACTGTTGCCCAGACTGGCGCAGCCTTGACCTGCTGGGTTCCGGCGATCCTTCCGCCTCAGCTTTCCAAGTAGCTGGAACTACAGGCGCGCTACCACACCTGGCTAATTTTTTGATTTATTGTAGAGATGAGGTCTCGCCTGCCCAGGCGGGTCTCGAACCCGCGGGCTCAGGCAATACACTCACCTCAGCCTCCCAAAGGCGCAGGATTACAGGCTGTGCCACCAAGCCTGGCTGAAGATATTTTTTCTAACCTAGCTCAGATTCCCTTCAAGTTTTCTTTCTTCTCTATGAAATTTTGTGGAAAACTAATAAACAAGGTATCCTAGGTTAGAGGCAGATGCCTGGTGAATTCTGGCACCACATAGCTCATTCAAACTTCAGCTGAACACTTCCTGAGTACTTTAACATGACTGTAATTCTCCCTTGACCTCATGGGTAATTTGGAGACAATAGCATCCCTTATACAGTTTTTTTGGTGAAGATTAAATGAATTAATCGGTGTAGAGCATCATTACTTAGAACATTGCTTAATCCATAATTAGTATAATTATATGTGTGTTAACTGTAAAGGAAAATCTCTGGGTTAATAACCCTCATAGACACACAGCTTCTTCCAATATACAATCTTTTAGAGGAGCTGTATGTTTCTCTCAACATGAATCCTCACACGACTTCACTACAACATAACTGAGGAAAATGACAGCCCAAAATGAAGGCCTCCTGGGTATGGAAACTACCAGGAGCTTGATCTTCTGCCCTGTCTCTGACCCTTCATTTTTCCTTAGGTTCCTTATTTCCCAAGATGGATTACAGAAACCAGAATCCCTCTCCCCTAAATCCAGTCACAAAGTCTACAAATATTACTTTAACTCCTGTCTCCCTTTCTGTGTAAGAGCTGGCCATAAGACATTAGCTGACCTTCTTTATTTGATTGTATGTCATGAGATGCCCTTTCAGAGAGGATCCTGTTCCATACCCAGGAACTCTGCTGCACAGAGAGGTAAAAAAGAATCTAAACAGATAGGCCTAACTGAGTTTCCCCACTCAGTCTACTAGCATTAGATCATATCCTTTTTTTTTTTTGTCAGAGTCTCACTGTGTTGCCTAGGCTGGAGTGCAGTGGCATGATCATGGCTCACCACAGCCTCAATCTCCTGGGCTCAGGTGATCCTGTCTCAGCCTCCAGAGTAGCTGGGACTATAGGTGCGTGCCACCATGACTGGCTAATTTTTAAAAAATTTTTGTAGAGATGAGGTCTCGCTATGTTAGTCTCAAACTCAAACTCCAGGCTGGACTCAAGAAATCTCCCTCCACCTCCCCACCTCTCCACTTCCCAAAGTGCTGAGGTTACAGGCATGAGCTACCATGCCCAGCCAGTTCATAGCCTTTTTGTTCAGTCATATTTATACACGGCTGTTTATGTTTTGTTGAGCATGAGCATAAAAATAAAGTTTCCTCTGAATCTTTGGATCTTCAGTTTGAAGACTCCCATGTCACATAAAATTGTGATAAGAGACATTTGTTTGCTTTTCTCCTATTAAACTGCCTTTCTCCATTGATTTTCAGCAAACATCCAGAGGATAAAGGGGAAATTTTTCCTTGGCTCCTACAGTGTAAACATTTTATTTTTTGGTGAATCTAAAGAAGAGAATGTAGGTGTTTATTGCACTAGTTTTTAAACTTTTATGAGAGTGAAACTATTTTAGCTTGTGCAAAAGTAAACACTTCTTCATTATAATAGAATAAAATTGCACTCCTGGGTGGAGATTTAAAATGCTAATGAAACATGCGATGCACGTAAAAGTATGGCATGAAGCAAACACAACCCTCGGACCACCCTGAGCATGCCATGATGACATCTGGAAAAGAGCCAGGGGAAGATGAAAGCCAAAAGTTACTTGCTTTTCAGAGAAGGTGCAACAGACTTCTTTCGGTTGTGGTCTCCCTTTCTGCCCAAGCTAAAAGTTCCAGTAAACAACTGTGCTCAAGTTTAGCAGACTTTCAGTTTATTTCTATTTACTAAGGGTCAAGATCCCAATGCCAGTAACAGAATGACCACTGATGATTTCATTCTGAGTAGATCCATCTAGAGGAAGGAAATCTGAGAAAAATCTCATCTCTACAATTCAAGAGGTCCCAGGAAACAAAAGCTGCCTTTTCCTGCATTCTCAACTGACCTCATTTCACTTCACAATGTCCTCTTTGTTAATATTTCTAACTTCTGTTGTCTGTTACTGAAGATTATCCCTGGAGTGCAGCATTTTGTATGCATATTACATTATGTGTAGTCAGGATGTGTTTGAGAATCTTATACCATCTAGATTTTAATTTTTCTCATTCTTATTTTCTCCTGTACTTAAGACACCCAGACAACCCCAGCACACATACTCTTACCTAAGATCTCCAACTTGTTTTCAAGAACTCCAACATCTTAAATAATGTTCACATGAACCTTGGGAATCACACAGCTTCAGAAAATTCTGTTAAACATCCCTGTGATGACCAGTAATTTAAGTGGCGTCTCTTATGATGTGGAAAGGACTCAGGAAATAATATTTTCTCGACCCTTCCACACTGATTCACAGTGGCCCATCACATTTACCACTTCCTTGATCCCAGAACTAGTGTGAGAATTATCAGAGGGATTATAGTTAGAGGTGGCTGTGGAAAAATTCTGCTGATGGTGGTGTTGTTTCAGTGGGAGTAATTAAGTCACTCAGGCACATATGCTTTGGAATACACAATTAGTCTAGGGCTTAACATTTTTTTCTAGGGCCTACTGAAACAGTGAACCCTCTCACCCTCTGGCTTCAATAGGGAGAGAGGTTGTGTTGAAACATGTCAAGTTGTATTCCTTAGAAAGAACTGTT